TCACCTGATAAAGTTATGTCATCTTTTCCTTCTTTGCAAGTTGTTTAATGCAGGTTTCTGTTAGTCTGATAAATGTGACAAAGACAGCTAGGTGTCCCCTCACCCAAATATCTACTCGGTCCTTTTTTCCTAAATTACCAACTTGCTTTTTTGTGGCATTAATCAGTTCAACATTTGGAAAAAAAAAAAGTTTTTCCACTGTTTCTCTTGTCCAGATGCAGTTCCTAACTGATAAAATGAATTCATGGTGTTTGGGATCCAAACTTAGTTGGTCTGAATATGCAGATTTAATATCATCGTAGGCAATGTGTCCATCTTAAGGGAAAGGAATGTCAGCATACCATGCTGAGTCTCACAATCAATGTGGCCTAAAAATGTCTGTTAAACTAGGTGTAGATGTTTAAAAAGGTGTGGTTTTAGGTGACAAGCTTATTTATCACTTTAATACTTTAATATTACCTCAGATTTCTGTTGCAATTGTCTTCTGTGGAGAGGAACAAGCATGGATTCTACGTCAGCAACCACAGCATCAATCATAGGTGCTAGCTGAGAAAGCGTAATGTCCTAAAGTCCCTTGATTCTGCATTCTTATCATGCATGCCTAGAGCAGTGTGAGATGCATGCTGATGTATTAGGGAGGATAAAAAGCAACATGATTAACTAGTGATTTATATCCTTTGAGATGGACAGCCTATAGAAAATAATGATGAGTAGGGGATCCAGTGGGACTAGGAAACGTTATATTAAAAATAGAAAGCCTGATGACCTTATCTTGTGTAATTCATCATCCTTGCCTTCATTGGTTATCTCTCCTGCTCCCTTGTACAATAATCAGTGACACCAAAAAAAGAAGTACTCTATGCTAGACTTATACAACTTATACTATTAGGGCCAATGCCAAGTTTTACTCCTAAGAAACATCAGAAATTCCCAAATTAACCTTTACAAATGATATTATATAACGTTAAAAAATACTCAGATTGAATGGACAGTAATTCGAGAAGTCCAACTCACTTCAGCATATTTGACTTATGTATTCAAAAACATTGGAGCGCTGGTGGCGCAGTGGTTAAGAGCTACGGCTGCTAACCAAAAGGTTGGCAATTCAAATCCACCATCCCCTCCTTGGAAACCCTATGGGGCAGTTCTACTCTGTGCCATGGGGTCGCTATGAGTCAGAATTGACTCCACAGCAATGGGAAAAAGAAAAATTAAAAAACCCAAACAAAACAAAACAGGAAGCAGATTAATTAATGCAATCGAGTCGACAACAATGGGTTTGGTTTTGTTTTACATGGTACAGGTGAAAAAAAATTATACAACTTTTATAAAGTATTTGAGAAAATTCTTAATAACCACAAGGGGAAACTTTTGGTTCCCTGCCCAACTGATCTTCTTCTTTACTGGCAGAATTAAATACTTGCGTTCATCCTCCACTACCTCAGCAAACAGTTACCTGTCTTCGGTTCCAGGTTTCATACCTAATTAGTTTGAATCGATTATCCAGACACCATTCTGCTTTTCAAAGAGGGATTTAGGCATTGGCTTGTGAAGCAATTCTGGCCAATGGCGGATAAAAGCGTGTTTCCCAGAGATTGTAGGGAAAGGTTCTGATCATCTTCAAAAACAAACAAACAAAAACCCCTCCCTTCAAATTTTCTGGCCCTTGTCATGTCTGGGTATGTTCTTTCTAACTGTTGCAAGTTTCCCGTGACCTTGTAGAGAGTTAGCTTGAAATCATGCCAAAACGCTGTGTAGAGCTGAGGAGAGAGGGCAAAACAAATTTTTAATGGTACGTTGGTCCTTAATACAATAATTGAGCTGCTAAATTTATAATCCTGGAGCCCTCCTGTTTTATAGCAGGATGATCTATGGCTTGTTGTTTAAGACAGCCAAGTAAGGTTTTCTGTTATATGAAGCCAAACGTATGCTGATAAAAACTTGTAAATAAGTCAATACCTACTATTGGCATTGTTGTTTAGAAATTTTTATAGGTATACTGCAGGATAAATCAAAAAAGAATTATTTTACTGTAGAAAATAAGCAAGTCTCCAGAATGAGATTTAAAAAAAGATGTAAAGTTAAAATGAAAAACAGTAACTAAAAATTCTGTAATATTAAATTCAAATGAAAATATATAAGTATTAACAGTAAACAAATACCTGTAGATGCCTATGATGGGCATGCCTAGTATTAGAACTACTGATGATTTCTTGTTTATGTTTATCCTAATTTTTTGTAAAATAAACACATTTTCTATTTCTCTTAATTTGGGGAGAATATAGGATGATCTGGAACATAATCCCCACTGGTGTTTATTAAACTAGGATCTTAGAATCGCCTGAGTGTTAATTACTTGAGGGTAAAAATGCAGATTCCTGGGTACAACACTAGACTAGGGCATCGGCATACTCAGAGATGATGATTTACATTGCAAAATTAAAGAAGAAAACTGTCAATTGTCCTTGGTAGTTTGAGAAATAATGATAGATATGTAATGAACTTTATAGTATTTCAAAATTTACATTTTCTCATTAAATAAAAATCCTTTAGCTTAATATTGCCAAGAAATCTTTTCCAAAAACTTCAAAATCTTTTTTTAAATATAAGTTGTTTTTCAAGTTAGCTGTCTTTAGACTCAGAAATATTTAACTTGTACATAAACTCATAAACATAATTAGTTATCAGCATCAACAATTCCTAAGTATCTGTACAAAGTTAACTTTTAACTACCTTGATCAATGTCAGCATATTCTTTTCAAAAATTCCAAACAAATGGAATTTGCATTATGTTTTCAGCCAAGAAATCCTACAGAGCTTAGTTCTACTCTGTAACTCTGGGATCACCATGAGTTGGACTCAACTCGACAGCAAGAGGTATGGTTCACTTGGTTTTATCATAATAATATAAGTACTGTTTACATTTTTAAGTTATTATTTAGGTTGTTAGAAGTAAAATCAATAGTGCAAAGGGTATAGAATCCCATTTTATAAGCACGAATGCATCAGTTTTAATGATAATTAATTTACAAAGGTTTTAAACGACTGTAACTGTGTTGTTGAGCCCTCCTGGCATAGTGGTTAAGTGCTGGGCTGCTAACTGACAAGTCAGAAGTTCGAACTCAGCAGCTGCTCCGTGGGAGAACAATGTGGCAGTCTGCTTCTCTGAAGTTACAGCTTTGGAAACCCTGTGGGACAGTTCTACTCTGTCCTGTAGAGTTGCTATGAATCGAGTTGACTCAAGGGCAACAGATTAATGGGCTAACCGTGTTGTTAGGTCTGCTGTCTCCGTAATCTAATAGCAGAAGGAACTCCATTATGTTTAAAAAAGAAGAGAGGAAAAGAAAATCCTTGTCACACTCAGCCCTGACCGAAGGAATGTGCTCTGTGCTGGGAGTGGTGCCCCACAATAGAAATGCACCATCTGCCTGCAGGTCATGAGAAACAATAGGAGTTGAAAATGGAAAATACCTGGCTGTTCTGGATATAAACCTGAGAATTTACATGCATTCCTCAAAGATACAACTTGCAAAGTAGTTTTTTGGATCTTTACCATTCATAACATGCTATCATTCGTACTCGTGATCAAACCAGTTGGCTTGCTAAGAGTAAGATCGCCAAGATTGTTACCAAAGATGCAAATAAACAGACGTTCAGAATGTCAGTGATGTTCCCTTTGTCAAAATGCTCTGTGGTAATATGATTTGCTTTTGTACAGCAGTTGCTCTATCACATCCTGTGATGTCTTCGTGAACCAGTTCTAAGAAGAACTTAATGTGCAAATATGCGAGCGTAATTGAGAATACAGAACGTATCTTGAGCTTAATGTTAAATATGCATGAAACATAATGTCTTCATGTTTAATTCTATTATAATTTGAGGGATATATTTGCACATTCAAATTTTACATTTCTGTTTTTTATTATTAACATACAGATGCAAGAGCAATATTCTGCAGCTACAAAAACTTAAGCTTTCAGGACTTCTTCCTCGAAAAAAGAGAAAGTTATTATAAGGGGACATAACTAAGGTAGCCACCCTTCTGATGAATCAGTAGCACACAGTATGAGAGTCTCTTAAGTTTTTTATCAAGATTATTTACATACAATATATGCTTAACAAACCATGGTGCTAAGGAAAGATACAAAAAGACATTTTGCCATAAACATATAAAGGTGTTCAGTTTACTTCAAGGTACATTAATGATTTAAGAGAATATTCATGGATTTAGGAAACAAGTTCCTATTTCTGTTTCTTTGCAAGTTGAGTTCTCTAATTATTAGCCTTTTAAACTGGAGTAGTATTGTAGGAATTTTTTTTTAGTGGAAATATAAAACAGGAAGACTTTACTTAGTGTGCTTATTTTCTCATGCCTCTTAACAGAGGCTATTCCGGCTTCCTGTATACCTGGTACCTATTTCCTGAGTAAACTTGCAGAGAGCAGTTACATTCTTGTGCAGATTGCCACACATTGTTGTTGTCAGGTGCCCTTAAGTCAGTTCCGACACAGAGACCCCATATAGAACAGAATGAAATGCTGCTCGGTCCTGTGCCATCCACACAATCATTGCTATCTTTGAGCCCATTGTTGCAACCACTGCATCACTCCACAGTGTTGCCACATAGCAGGGTAAAAAGAAAACATCCTTGATAGTTCAATTATTTTGTTGGTGACCATTATCTCTGGTCCTTAATTATGGGCTAATGATATCGAAATACTTCTTTTATAGCTCCAATTCAGAGGCTAGTTGTGAAGAGTTTTTGTTTGCTTGTTTGTTTTAAATAGAACAGAACACAGTAGTTTTACATTTAATGGCAACTGGTAATCATAACATTATCCTTCTTTGTTTCTGCCTTCTCCAGACACAACTCTCCAAATTAGCGCCGGTTATTTTCAAGTTATTTCACTAGCTATATTGTCATTTCTCTGAAGCTTGAACAAAGATACCTAGAGTTCAGCCATTTCCTGCACAAGATGGTCAGAGAGTAAATCAGACTTAGTTTATCACCAGCATTTATAAAACTAGACAGAGGGAAGGAACTAGGTCTGGGAACCCATGCACGGTCTTAATATAGCAAATGTTTAGTTAGCCTGCCCTGATTAGGAAAGAGTTTTAAAAGAACCCAATGTCAGTTTTTTTTAAAACAATTTAGTGCTACTTGGTGATGAAATTGAGATTAAATCATACTATTTATGCATCCAAAGCCTGATTAATGAAAGATGCACTTGACAGCTAGTCAGCACGCTGATCAACACATAAATCAACTTAGACTCTTTTTTACCAGAACCACTGACATTGTTGCAGTTGCGAATTTAACGCCGATTTATTTATTTCAACTACGACAACCACAAACCCTTGAGTTTCGGATTTACGAAGCGGTTGAACATCATCATTAGAAACTCAAAGCGAATGCATCAAAGTTCTCAGTCTCCCACAAATGCATTTTTCTTCATTCTGGGCCTGTGTTAAGGTTACCAGCCAAGGCTTCGCAGTCCCCGTTCTCTTCGCCGAAATGTCTCTCCTTCTTTCCGGATTATCAAACACAAAATTATCTCCCTCCTCCATTAAGCATCTTTCACACTCTAGCTAATGCCGATCTGTTTTTTGCTTGTTTTTTGTTTTTGTTTTCCCCTAAACTATAGTGCACATCAAGGAGCCCGGGTGATGCAAGCAGTCTGCCATATTCTACTAACTGAAAGGTTGGTGGATCAAATCCATTTGACAGCTCCACAGAACAGAAGGCCTGGTAAACTTCTTCCATAAAGATTACAGCCAAAAAGAAGGCCCTATGTAGCAGTTCTACTCTGTAAAACACGGGTTGGCATGAGTCAGGGGCCAGCTCTAAGGCAGCTAACAACAACATAGTGCCTATCATTTGTACCTCCCTCTTTGACAGAGAATCAGACAACCTCACTATTATTACCATCAAACCGCTAAATAAAACTGAGCGCCTGCCATGAGTTAATGTTAGCTCATCTCCCATTCCCCATCTATGTACCGTTTCAGCTTAACAGTGGGAGAAGGGGGGAATGGGTATGGTCAGCTTCTGATCTCCATCTTAAACATACTTAAACCCCCATACACCCTATGGGCAACCCACCCACTAGGTTTTCCTCTTCTCCATGATTGGCATTTTAGTTCCACTGGATGGTAACGGGTTTGTTTTTGGTTTTGGGTGGTGAAGTAACAGAAATACCACAATTAGGTGACTTTCAATAAACAGAAATTTATTTTCTCACAGTTTAGGATGATAGAAGTCGGAATTCAGGGCACCAGCTATAGGTAAAGGCTCTCTCTGTCAGCTCTAGGGAAAGATCCTTTCAAGTTTTGTAGTCCTGGGCTTCCTCGGTACCTGGGGAAGTTTCTCTTATCTATCTTCCCTAATATGTGTTTGCTTGTCTCTGTGTTTATGCTGTTCCTTATACCTCAGAAGCAAATAGGTTTAGGACATACCCTATACTGATAGGGCCTCATTAACATAACAAAGAAAACCTTATTTCTAGACAGGATTCCATCCACAAGCATTTGGGTTAGGATCCCAGCACGTATTTTGTTATTGTGGTTAGGTGCCTTTGAGCCCATTCTGACTCACAGCGATCCCATGTGACAGAGTGGAACTGCCCCACAGGGATTTCTAGGCTGTAATCTTTATGGGAGCAGATTGCCAGGTCTTTCCCTCTTGGAGCTGCTGGGTGGGTTTGAACCTGTTGGTTAGCAGCTGAGTGCTTAATCATTTCACCACTAGGGTACCTTACACATATTTCGGGAGGGGACACAATTCAGTTCATAACAGTAGGATCCAGAAAAGGGGAATTAGAGAAAATAACACATTTTTACATGGTAGGCATTTATGGGATCTTGCGTTGGGCTTGTTAGATAATTAGAGCCAGACTTTTCTCTCTTAGGATCTTTTGTGGCTTTTCAGGTCCCCACACCCTGAAATTCCAATTGAAAATCTTCGATAAGGAAGTTATATTTTCATGGCTGACTCTTTACAATCTCCCTTCTATAAAGACTTTTTCTGATGCAGTCAGTTTGCACAGAACACTCAGAGCCAATCATCTCCCTTCTCTCTTTACGCTTCTTGAGCCTCATTCACTTTTGCTGTGGGTGAGGAGGTAAAGGGTCTACTGGTTTTTAGCATTTCTTTGCAAGTCTTGAATCGATTCATTCCTTAGGTAACAAGTATTTGCTGAGTGCTCGCTAACTACCAGGTAGTACTCTGGGCACTGAGAATAAACTAGCAAACAAACGAGAAAAAAGCCTGCCCTCACCAGGCTTAAAAACAATAAAAATAGAAGTCAAATGTAAAGTGGTTAAATGCTCAGCTGCCAGCTGAAAGTTTGGCAGTTTGAACCCACTAGCTGCTCCGAGTGAGAAAAGATCTGGTGATCTGCTCCCTTAAAGATTTATAGCCTAGGAAATCCCATGGGGCAGCAGTTCTAGTCTTTCCTTTAGTATTGCTATCAGTTGGAATCAAAAACAATAACTACAACATAGTGTGTTACATGCTGAGGAAGCATGAGATAGGTAAGTGCTAAGGTGGATAGGGTTGGAATTTTAGACAGGATGTCCACAGCAGGGGTCTCTGAGATGGTGGCTTTGAGTAGAGATCTAAAGGAGGAGAGAGAATGAATCTTGATATATGGTGATCTATAGGGAAGAGTATTTTAGACAGAATGGTTGGCATGTTCAAAGGACTCTGAGGCAAGAACAGTGTCTTAGTATCTTAGTGCTGCTATAACAGAAATACCACAATGGGTGGCTAGAAAAAACAGACACTTATTTTCTCACAGTTCAGAAGGCTAGAAGTCTGAGTTCAGGGCACTGGCTGTAGGGGAAGGCTCTCTCTCTGTAGGCTCTGGGTAATGAACTTTGTCTCTTCCAGTATTTCTGGGTTCCTTGATGATTTTCACGTGGCGTGGCATCTCTCTTCCTGCTTATACTCCTTTGTCTCAGGCTCTGTACTGGCTGTTCTTTGTATCACTCAGGAGTGAAGAGATATAGGACACACCCTACACTGACATGACCTCATTAACATAACAAAGAAAACCCTATTCATCAACAGGATTACATCCACAGGTATAGGGATCAGGACTCCAACACATTGTGAGGGAACACAATTCTTTTCAATCCATACCAACAGCATGGAAGCCAGCTTCAGTAGAGTGGAATGAAATAGGTTTAAGTAGATGGAGAGAAGTAAAGTGACTAGGTCAGAGAAGTAATTTAAAAGCCAGTAGTAGACCTTATTGTGAGCTCCAGAAGGGACACTTGAATTTTTACTCTGAATGAGTAAAGGAAGGCACTGGAGAGTTTTGAACAGAGGAAGGATATGGTCTCTTTTATATTTTAACATTGTGACTTTGACGGCTGTTTTGAGGGTATTCTGTAGAGGGCAAGGGCAAGAAGTGGAAAACCAGTTACCAAACTCTTATAATAATCCTGGTGAGAAATAATGTGACTTGGAACAAGATGGTGGAAATTGAATTGGTGAGAAGTTGTCTAGTTCTGGATATGTTTTGAAGGTAGAGCCAACCAATTTTTTTGTCAACTAGACGCGTGTGGGTGAGAGGAGACAGTCTTTTGGATAGCTCAAAAGGCTATAGTTACTCCCTGTTGATCCTCCCCCTACTAACATCTTTGGGCTTTGGAAAAAAACATTGCACTTCTCCCTCTGAAGCTTCATGGTTTGTCTACATGAACAACCCAGCTAAAGAGATATAATTCGGAGCTGGTGCCCCAATCAAACTAACATCTTTTTCAGGTGATCAGGCTGAACTTCATTAATAAAACCCCTCCCATTGCCATTCAGTTGATTCTGACTCATGGCGACCCTACAAGACAGAGTAGAACTGCTCCATATGGTTTTCAAGGAGCAGCCAGCAGATTCGAACTGCTGATGTTTTGGTTAGCAGTCTGAGCTCTTAAGCATTGCCCCAACTGTGCCACCAGGCTCCATTAGTAAGTGCTTTAAGTATGAGTCTGAAAATCAGGAGATAACTCAGAACCTTAAATTCTAGGCACCAAACATTTAATTTTTAGTCTTAAGACTACAACCAAAATAGATATTCCAAACCTGAAACCCATTGCTGTTGAGTTGATTCCCACTTATAGTGACTCTATGGGACAAAGTAGAATTGCTCCATAGTGTTTCCAAGGCTGTAATCTTTACAAAAGCACACTGCCACATCTTTCTCCCCAGGAACGGCTGGTGGGTTCAAACTGCCCACCTTTTGGTTAGCAGCAGAGCACTTTAATCACTGCACCACTAGGGATAGCTTTAGTAAATGTCTTAATATAATATCAAGTTACATGTACACAATCTACCACACTTTCATTTTGAAAATATTTTATTTTCATAAGCTTTTTTTTTTCTCTTCTATGAACAAAACCACTCCAAGAAGTCAAAATCTAAAATACTGATCTCCCTGCTTGCCTATATGGTACACTTCCATCCTATATTTACCTCTTGGTCTAAAACCCAAATTAACATATCAAAAACCAATTATATTTCAATGACACAGTCTACGTTTATACTGAATGAGTCAATGGAGGTTTATATCTATTTAGTTTTCTTTTGTATTTGTTGTTGTTCATTTGATGCTATTATCCTGCATAATGTCCCACCAGGCAGCACCTTTTCTAGGCATGAAGATTCTTGGCACTCTGTCTGTCTGTAAGAAATATCATCACATATCCATGGTTGTCAAGAGTTTTTTTTTTACTAAAAGAAAGAATCACAGAATACAACAAAGGAAATATTCTATTTCATTTATAAAATTTTATAAAACAAAATAGGTCAAAGAAATCTCCTGATAATTTTATGTAACGGTATAGGATTTTTTCTTACTATTCTGAGGAAGAATTCTAAAAGCTTCCAATCTGTGAGATAAATAAAAAGCCAAGATCATGCTGGGGGATGAAACTATGTTTTAAGAATTAGCACAACTACATATATTAGGAATTGCTGGACAGGGAAAAAGACACTGAGACAAGAAAAGAAAAGAAAACAAAACAAAACCCACTGCTGTCGAGTCTATTCTAATTCCTAGGGACCTATAGGACAGAGTAGAATTGCCCCATAGACTTTCCGAGACTGCAAATATTTACAGAAGC